AAAAAAGGAGACAACAATTTGTTTTGTAACTATGCCTATACTGCTTTGATAAGATGAAAATTTAAAAAAGAACAAGAGGAATTAGTCAGAGGGTTTTTAAGCAGGAGACTGACATAATTTGGTTGGCAGTTTATATGGGCACTCTCGTTACTGAACTCAGGTCTGGCTGCCCGACCCCTCGAGAAGGAAAGAAAAAAAAGACTCAGAAGTCAAATGGTTGGTGTTAGAAAAGCAGATACATTCAGCTGAAGGAGACGGTATGCTATTCCATCTCTCCAGTACACCTGGAGAATGTTCAGTCCAAAGCCATCCCAAAGACTCAGGTTTCCTGAGTTGTTTTTAAAGAGGGGGTTGAGGGAATGGAACGTGGGAAGTGAAAAGCAGGAGGGAGGGTACGTGGGCTACGAGGGGTCCGAGTCTATGAGTCGGGTACAAGGACATCTCAGGGTCTGGGAAGTACGTGCAAGTCTGCAGCTTCAGGCTGCCTAGACAACAACTTTACATTCATGTAAATAATGTCATCTTGCCCCATAACCACAGTTCAAAATATCAAATAACCATGGAAAAGAGGAAACTCAGAGAAATGCATGCACCCCCCCCCAAAAAAAAAAACCTGTCATTTTAAAATCTTTTAGAGCCCATATGGTTTTAGGTCCTAACATGGCTTCAGTCCTGCTCACTTCAACACTCGGACTGCAAGGTGGCAACTGGACTGTAAAGGAGCAAGAGGGGACATGGAGGACCAGGAGGAAGCTATTACAGTGGTTCAGCAAGAGAGATGAGGTTGCTTGGTTTCTGAGCTCTGAAAACTTCATAGAGTCAACTCAAGCAGTAAGTATTCTTGAAACAAAACAACAACACATACAAAAAATGACTTTGTGGTATGGTGCATTCTACAAGAAGGCTTCATAACCCCAAACTTATTTTGAGGATCTCTAAAGATTTGGTGAACATAGCTACCCTTGTTGCTAAATTGAAACTATGTCATTGGTTATGATTCAAAAGGCTGGGCTGGATAACCAGCAAAAGGATTCAGAGCTAAATGCAGTCTCATGTCTGGACACCTGAAAAGAAATTACCTTGGTTTTTGACAGAATGGGGGCGGCTCGATCAAGCAGCATTTCCACCACCTGCTCATGGCCGCTCCTTGCCCCACAATGCAGTGGTGTCAGACCATCCTGTTGAACAAAGCAACATCTTCCATTAGAGGTGATGGAAAAGTCTGAGGGCAGTTTATTTCTTCGAGATCCAGCATGGCATCTGACACGCTGCGACCCGTGGGCTTCAAACATCTGCTCATAACCTCATTCAATAATTTCATATTTTTAAGTATAACTTATACATTTTTCAAAAGTTTAAGTAGTTCCAAAGTATGTAATTTCCCACCTACTAGAATACTGACATTTAAATAACTGTTCCACTACTCTTTTGAACATTCAGTGGAGTCTAAACAGTATAAGTAATTTGATACCCACCATGTAAAAAAACACATGAATAGATTTTTTTGTCAGATTAACAGATTATTCTTAAACCAGTTTTAGATTTATAGAAACATTTAACAGAAAGTACAGGAAATCTTGTAGATAGAAAATAAATTAGTGGCTACCAGGCATTTTAGATACTGGAATGACTGCCAGTGTGTATGGGATTTCTTTTTGAGACAATGGAAATATTCAAAAATTAGATAGTTCCACAATCCTATGAATACACTAAAAAGCACTGAGTTGTACACTTCAAATGGGTTAATTATATAGTATGTGAATTATAGTCGTGCACCGCTTAAGGACGTTGCAGTAAATAGCAGACTGCATATGTGACGGTGCTATACCATACAGCCAAGATGTCTAGTAGGCGTCAAGGTGTATCATACAGCATCGGGGTTTGTGCAAGTACACGCTGTGATGTTTGAACACTAATGAAATTGCCTGACGATGCATTTCTTAGAACATATACCTGTTGTCAAACACTGCATGACTGTATATCGTAATCAAGCTATAAATAAAGTACAAAGAACAGAATAAAAATAGCCTCCAACAACTAACCAACAACAGATAAATATTGCCAATGTTTGATGTACTACTTAGAAACTAAGTATCTGCATGAGTTTATATGTTTTAATTTACACAAATTATCTCATACTATCTACAGTTTTCGGAAACTGTTTTCATGTCATATAATGGTACTGATAGATATATTGCCACTGAAAAAAATTTAATTCTAGATCTTTTTCAATGATTGAAGAGTATTTTTTAAAAAATATACTTGACTGTACTCTATTCACAGATATTTAAATAATTTGGTTTTAACCTTTTTTCTTTTGGAAAGGTTTTCCTTGTGGGGTAATTTTATTTTTTAAAAAATTTATTTTATTACTTCTTTAATTGGCACATAATTGTACATATTTATGAAGGACAAAGCGATATTTTGATATATGTATCTGATGTGTAATGATTAAATCAGGGTAGAGAGCATATCCATCACTTCAAACATTTACCATTTCTTTGTGATAGGAACATTCAAAATCCTCTCTTCTAGCTATTTGAAAATATATAATAAATTGTTACCCCACAGTGCTGTAGAACATATTCTTCCTATCTAGGTTATTTTGTGACCACTAACCAACTTCTCCCTTTCTCCCCTACCCTTCCCAACATCTAGTAACCACTACTCTAGTCTCTACTTCTATGAGGTCAACTTTATTTAGCTTCCACATGTGAGAACATGTGGTATTTACCTTTCTGTGCCTGGCTTATTTCACTTAATATCTATGTTGCCTGGAATGACAATTTTATTCTTTTTTATGGCTGAATAGTATTCCATTGTGTATATATGCCACAAGATGATCTTTATTCATCTGTTGATGGACATGTAGGTTGATCCCATATCTTGGCTATTGTGAATAGTGCTGCAATAAACACAGGAGCACAGATCTCTCTTCAACATGCTGATTTCCCTTCCTTTGGATATATACTCAGACGTGGGACTGCTGGATCATATGGTAGTTCTCCATACTGTTTTCCATAATGGCTGTAATAGTTTACATTCCTACCAACAGTGTACAACAGTTCCTCTTTTTCTGTATGCTTGCCACATTTGTTATTGTCTTTGTGATAACAGCCAGTCTAACTGGGGTGAGGTGATATCTCAATGTGGTTTTGATTTACATTTCCCTGATGATTAATGATATTGAGCATTTTTTTCATATACTTGTTGGACATTTGAATGTCTTCTTTTGAGAAATGTCTATTCAGTTGATTTCCCCATTTTTTAATCAAATTATTAGGGTTTTTTTCCCTGTTGTTTGAGTTCCTTTTATATTCTGCATATAAATCCCTTGTTGGGTGAATAATTTGTAAATATTTTCTCCCATTCTGCCAGTTGCCTCTTCACTCTGTTGATTTTTTCATTGCTGTGAAGACATTTTTTAGTTTGATATAATCCCATATGTCTATTTTTGCTTTTGCTATCTGTGCTTTGAGGTCTTATCAATAAAATCTATGCCCAGACTAAAGTCCTGAAGGATTTCCCTTATGTTTTCTTCTAGTAGTTTCATAGTTTCACATCTTACCTTTAAGTCTTTAATCCAGTTTGAGGCAATTTTTGTATATGGTCAGAGATGGGGTTCTAGTTTTGTTCTTCTGTGTAAGGATCTCCAGTTTTCCCTGCACCATTTATTGAAGAAACTGTCCTTTCTCCAATGTAGAAATACAGAACGCTTCATGAATTTTCAGGTCATCCTTGTGCAGGGCCATGCTAATCTTCCCTGTATCATTCCAATGTTAATGTACGTGCTGCCAAAGTGAGCACTGAATATACTTTTTAAATAGGAATTTGTAATAGGAATTTTACATTGGTCTTTTTCCCTCTTGCATTTCTATTTCCATTCCATTTCCCCCACATAATTTTATGTTAATGTAATGTAATTTTATGCTTGAGTGTTTTTT